AGAACTCACAGTGTCCCAGTTTCTAGCCTGAGGCTTTAGACACTACACCAAACTAGCTCCTATTAAATCAAGTGTGCATCCCTTGAAAAAAGCCTAGAAATTGCCCAGAATGCAGCAGCATGAGTGCCGAGTGGTATCTCTCAAAGATCCCACATAATCCATTTATTGAAACAGCTTTATTGTTTATGGGTTGCCTTCTACCCCCCAATTAAAGGTACTCACACTGGTGTATAAAGCATTACATGGGTTAAAGTCAAGCTATCTACAGATCTACCTACGTATTCCCACATAGTCTGCTCCATGCTTTTAGATCGTCAGTGGAACACATGCTGCAGGTCCCGGCACAGATGCATTTAACATCAGTGGTTACTTTTTCTTTCTCTTGGCAGGGACCTTGTCAAGAAACAAATTGCCACTGGAACAAATTACAATCTGTGTCCTTATTAAGTTTGGAGGGAGTTACAAGCATCCGTATTTACCTAGAGATTTTGATGTTTTAATGTTTTAGTATTAAGTCTCTACTTTTTTGGTTTTTGTATTTCTTGTTCTTAATTATGTTCTAATGAAGGTTTTTGCTGTATTTTTTTGAACTGCACTGGGCTGTTAAAAAAGACAGTGGCATATAATTTTTCTAAATTAAAACTTCAAGTTACACACTTGAATTTCTATTACAATTATTGTCAATAATATTTATTATTCTGTCTTTTAATTGTACAGGAAATAACAGCAAGATTTATTTTCACTCAACTGGAAAACAGAAACCTCCTTTTATGCACAGCAATAAAAGGAAACTTAAAAGCGCAGAATATGCTTTCCCAGAGGCAAGAATGTGCTCAGTGTGGACATAGCTTTCTGAGCATGTGGCTAGAATGCGTGCACTTCATAGATGTAAAACAGGTACATGTTAAAGATGGATTCATTGCAACTTCAGACTTTTACTAGATTTTACTGCTGCGTGCTTTTCTTATGCATTTCAAAACCCTTTATTTTTCTTCTGTACTCATCAATGTAATTCTTATTGGCTTCCAAATATAAGCAGAATCCTGAATGGATTAAGGGAAGATTCCATATAATCCAGTACTAATTTTCTATCAATGGCCAACCAGATCTTATTCATGATTTTTACTCTTTTTGACTGTTCTGTTTTTTAAAAATTGATTTCTTCAATTTCGAGTGCAATCCTAAACAGGTCTCTCAGAAGTAAGCCCCACTGATTTCAGTGGGATGTACTCTCAGATAAGTATGATTGCAGTCATAATCTCTTTATTTGGATCTTACATTGTCTTTCATTAATTTCACACTCTCCAGAGTAGTATTTCATTCACACAATATATTCATGTTGTAGGTTATGCTGAGAGAATGGTTTATACCAAAGATCCCTGGTAACATTTACAAATGTGAGCCCAGATTTTCTACACTGAAAGCTAATACTGAACCCCTATATAACCTTGATGCCTTCGGTCAGTTCGGAGTATGTTGATTAAAATAGAAGACAGATAACAATGCTTTATGAGCAGCACAGTCAATTTTGAAATAATTCTTCAGAATTTATGACAACAGTGGTACAATATTTCTTTTTTTCTGTGATATTTGTTTAAATTGTTTTTATGTATGTTTAAAAAATTCTGCAAAACCCAAATTCTTCCTCTGGCAAAAACTAATCTTACCACTATATTTAAAAGGGTTGTACATGTCTATAGATTAAAAAAAAAAACCAAACCGAACCAAAGAATAGGTACAACAGTATTAACAATATAACATTAACCTCTAAATCCTTTATAATCATAACAAAACAAAAGGGAAAAGAAGAAAACAGGCTGGGAAATTATGTGTGAAGTGGAACAATTCCCCAAAAATTGACCATATTACTCAAAAGTCTTTTTTCCTTGCCTCTGTCAACCCAGCTCACTCAAAAACTCTAAACCAGGTGATGACAAAACAACACTTTCCAACAATCCATTGTTGTAGATCAGGTATATATTTCTCTTTGAGTGATAATTCCTTGAGCCAGCCTCCTATGTTTTCTATAGATTAAAATACTGAAACTAAGAAAGATACACCGATCTCAAAAAAACAAAGCAGTTCTGAAACCTTTTTAAAAAAACAGATAGCATTTATATAACCCTAGAATGCTGAAAACAGTTTAGTATACATGTTGTTCTTATGTTATAGAAAAACAGTTGAAGCAGGGAGAGAGTGCCTTGCTTTATGCTATACACTTAGTTTCAGGCTGGGAATTTACAGTTTTAGTGTCTTTTACTTTGTTACAGGCATCATCACCTGCATTTGACAAGATACACTTAGCATATTATTCCACCTATTGACACAGCACGTAATCTTTGCTTGAGTATCCTGGATGGCAAGGGAAGTAAAGGAAAGGGCAAGAGTAGCCCCTTGTCATGGATAGCTGAGGGAAGAAACAATAGCTCTCAAGATAACAAAATAATGGGCTTTGTTTAAGGTAGGGAAAGGTCCGGCTACATCAGAGAGACACACAAGTATAATAAACTTATACAGCCTCAATATTCATTATAAAAGGGAAAGTCAAAGATACTCTTGAACATATCACAGGTTCAAGGTATGCTAGATAAAGTTTGAAGTCTAGTGGTATAAAAATACAATCAATCAATCAGTGTAGCTAAATGGTTGCAGATTTGTGCAAAAGAGAGAATAATTAGATAGCATCTGAATATCTGAATTATGCATGTTTATTCTAATTGGGCTGATGAAGAAATAGAACTGACAATACTGGTGGCAGAAATGGAAACTAAAAGTATTTGCATAGTGTGAAGAGCAATAGCATAGACGTTTGGGCAGAAATGAAGGCAAAGATTAAAAGTTGGGAAAGCAACAGTTGGCTTAACTCACACACACATTGCAAAACAACAACACAACTGCAAAAAGAACAAAACTTAATTATTTAAAAAATTTTTTTAAAGTATATCTATAAATAAAGTAGAGGAACATTTAAGTAGCATGACTACATTATATATCCTGTTATTAGGAATACAGTGTTGTGTCTAAAATCAAGAGTAGGAGTTCTTAAAATACATTTTAGCATCTGAAATAAGAACATAGAAAAAGCAACCATTCCTTCACATTCTAATACTGCTATCTTGGCACCCACGAATGAAGATTGTGACAGTACTAGTAACTGCAGTGTTCTACAAATATAAGGACAAAATTTAACCTGCTACAAAGCTGATCATATGATAGAGAATGTTCAGCAGCAAATAGAATATTTATTTATTTATTTATTTATTAAATTTGTATGCCGCCCATCTCCCCCAGCGGGTAACTCTGGGCATCTCACGATGAAAGTAAAACCCACAAACAGTTAAAAAATAAATACCCCCTTTGTCAAACTATAAAAACAAGCCCTGTACATAAAAAACTAAAAACATTCAAGATGATAGGGGAGTAAAATCAGTTACCCCACAAGCCACTTCCACTAGACTTTTCAATGACATTTCATAAAAGTTAGTGTATTATTTCTACATAAGCACAGTTTACAAAATGGAGCTGTCAAGTTGGGCAAGCTCAAGGAAACAAGAACTATGCAGATTTCATGAAGGTATCTTTAATGCTTGTCTTGGGTTAGAAATGGAATCTTAGAAACAGCAAGAGGAATTTCCTCCTCACATTGAGAGTGAGTTCATTAAGGTATAGTCCATGACTTGAAGTACTTCTTCCTGGGCTACCTGGGCTGAGTTGCTATTCATAGGTTATGGTACCAATAGACTTCCCTTTCTTCATTTCTTGATTATTTACCTCTACTCTCCCTTCCATTATTTTCCCACCCTCACAATCTCTCAAAATAACTGAATATTAAGGAATATTTACCCACAAATTGTTCAACATTCTTTCACTCTTTCTTTCAGTAGACAGACAGACAGATAGATGAACAACTAAGGGTTTTGGTGATAAGCTTCAGAAATATTTAAAACAATAAAAAAACTTCAGTAGATGCACCAAAAAAATAGGATAATCTTTGGAAAGCAATACAAATTAAGCAATATGGAATTTTTCTCCCAGGAGAGTATAAAAGGAGGGAGTGCAAATTTTAAAAAGGAAGCTTGAAAGTAGAAAAACATGTAAAGGAAAAACTGGGTTATTTAATATTAATATGTGTTTCAAAATCTGATTGACCAGAATCTAAAAATGGGAAAGAATATTATTTTTATTTTATTTGTTAAATTTATATCATGCTTTTTCTCTAGAAGCTCAAGCTTGCTTATGTGGGTAGTTTCCTTAATTTTATCATGAATTCCCTTACTTTACTCATGGTTATTCTGATTAGCTTTGCAGTTGTAAAAACTTCCTTAGTTTCTTTTGAATCGATAACCTGTGGTGAGTAAACTACTCATATGCTTGCCAGAGAGCTTTCAGCTCCACAGAAAATGATGTAATATAATCAAAAACTGCTTTTGAAAGAGAACACTTTTAGTGTGTTTGACCTGGAGAACTCTATTTTGGAAAATTAATGTAATTTTATACAGTAATAGCACAAGGTTTAATCATACATTCAGTTGAATACCAGTTAAAAAAGCATCAATTAAATTTATATTGTAATTGATGATATGGCCAATTTCATGGCTGGACCATGTCTGGAACACTAGGAACCTTCTTATTCCTGAGAAGAAAATAAGAGGCCACCGTTGGAATGGGTAGAAAGGAAAAGTCTGGGAGAAAATCAAGGAACATCAAAACTTTCTTTGACTGGGACACTGGACTTCATACACAGTTACAACAAGAAATACGTTTTACAGTAAAAAAAAATCCTATAAGAATAAACAAACAGTGCTTATATTTTTGGATATATCCCAAGGTAATTGAAACATGGGTATTACAAAATGGAGACTTGGATGCAGAATTAAGTGACCCAAAGTGAAAATATGTTAGTGCTGTTCTGTGAACCTTTGTACAAGAACAAGCAGAACATTTACTGTTTAATTTCAGAGATTGCATTCCTGTATAAGAAATAATGAATAGGATGAGTACCAACCATATAATGTATACATTTTAGTAGGTGTTTAAAGTCCTACACAATAACTTCTATAAACAAGTTCTTGGACTAAGTTGAAAACAGACTTCCCGTAAACAAAATATTTTTGTTTTCTAAATTATCTATTTTCTCTCAGTTACAGATATTGAGTATCTGTCTACCCAGTACAACATTTCTTATGAGAGGCAGCCCAATTACTCTGGCTAAGTTCCCAAGAACACATGGGACTCTTTAAAAACCTTCCAGGCCATATTGCAATCTATTTTTGAGAGTGTTTGCCACACAGTAGAATTGCTTGCAAAACACAGCACACAAACCCCCTCAGGCAAGCACTTAAGTTTTTTTGTCCCAGCCAATAATTATTTAATTTCTCAGTTCTCACCTTGCAAAATTGGCATTTTGTATGAATAAAATGGAAAGCATACGATGGCATTATGAAGGATTTTTAATTTCTAAAAATATAACTCATTTTCATATTTGACAACATAATTATGAAACCCTGAATTTTGGATCTTATAGGCTTCAAGTTAATATGGGGAAAAAAGAGTACTATTATCTTTCACATAAGTAACCTGTAGAATAGAATGATGACTAAAAGTTTGGACACAGATGTGAGAAAACAAGATTTAATCTCCATTAGACTATAGAGCTTATTGACTTGTACCTTTGGACAAGTCAACCTCATTGGCCTTCTGTGGTTGCCAAGAGGACAGAATACTTCTTTGAGTTGTTTGTGGAAAGCTGAGAAAAAATATAGTCAATCAAAATATGTACTGGTTTTAGTATATATGTAATGGTACTGAACATGGAAAGCTATTATAATAGTAGGCAGCATTACTCAGTGTAAGGAGAAGATATATTTTTAGGGATTATTAAGGGATTGTATATCTTCCCTTAATGTAGAAGAAGTGTACTTATCCATTAATGGAAATTCAAGATTGGGCAGGGTATTGCTCTTATACATATTCTATGAAACAAATGTCACTATGAAACAATATTACAAGATCTTCATTTTGGTTTATTCAGACTACTTGGTTTCTTCTCCCTGCACAATTTCCCCTAAATTAGGAAATCATAAGACTTGCTGCAAGAATAGAGAGATTTATTTCTGTCAAGGTATCATTCCACTGGAATAATTGGTTCAGGGGATCATAACAGTGATGGGAAGGATTAGAGTCAAAAGTGGCAGGAAAACACCCTTTTGGTCATTGCAAGGTGTACAGGAATTCTCTTGTTTGCCACTCCTTTGTCTTCTTTTTGCCATGGCCTCACTCGCAAAGGACACTTGTATCTCTTTGTCTCTTCATTTATTCCAGCCTACTCACCTCCCTGCCCCACCCCAGCCCTCCTTTTCATCCTGTAGACTGAATGAAAACAGTTGTGGGCCATAAGCTGCCTGCCCTACCATCTAGAACAATCTCATAAATGTCCATGCTCCTTTCATGGTATGATTGTGATTTGTTGACAATCTTCATACATTTAAATGGAGGTTAAAAAGAGAGCAGGATTTATTTGCTCCTTTTCCCCAGCAACAAAACTTTTGGAGGTTTAAATCCAGTGGGACTGAGTGTTCAGCACATCATGACTTATTGACCACAGGAAGGCAGGGGGTATAGATAGAGATTTAAGGATTTACCTTGTGTCTCTCTCTGTGTATCACTCTGCCTGCTTTTTGTCCATCAGATCCTTAATCTGAGGTCACTTCTCCCTCTTGGGAATGCTCACACATATACACAGAACACTTCAACTTCCAGAAAGGATAGGAAGCAAATAATTAGGATGAAAATTGAAGTCTGCCATAGTACCAGCCTTCCCATTGCTAATCTTTTCTAACATACTTTAAATCCATTTTTGCAATTTAATGATCCTGTCCTCTCCATAATAAGTTTCCAGCATCCCCTTGACATGGCTTTTGATACCATCAACTTCCGGGATAGGTTGTCAGAGTTAAGATATTGTGGTTCCACTCCTACTTAGATAGCTATTTCCAGAAGGTGCTGCTGGGGGATTACTCTTCTGAGTCATGATGGTAGATGGAGTCCCTCGGGGCTCCATTTTTCCCCTACACTCTTTAACATCTGTATGAAACCACTGGGGAAGGTCATCCAGGGATGTGGGCTGAGGTGCCATCAATATGCAGATGACACCCAGTTCTACCCTTTCTTTTTATCTAATACAGGTGAGGCAGTTGGCATTCTGAACCAATTCTTGGGCAGGGTAATGAAGTAGATGAGGGCCAATAAACAAACTCAATCTGACAAGGCAGAGATGCTGTTTGTGAGTGATGCATGTGTCCAGCTAAGTGGTATCTTGTCTGTCCTGGAGGTGTCTGCACTTGTCGTAAAGGAGCAGGTTTGCAGTTTTGGGGTGCTCCTAGATCCATCATTGTCACTAGAGGCCCAGGTGGCCTTGGTGGGATGGAGTGCCTTTTATCAGCTTCAGCTTATTAAGCAACTGCAATCCTACCTGGGCAGCAACAATTATTCATGCTCAGATAATTTCCTAATTGGATTATTGCAAAGTGTTGTATGTGGGGCTGTCTTTGAAAACAGTCTGAAACTTCCGTTCAAAACAGAGCAGATAGATTGCTCACTGGGACTAGCTGACAAAAACATATTATCCCAGTTCTTCATCATCTATACTGACTGCCAGTCCATTTCCTGACCCAATTCAAAGTACTGTTTTTGGCCTTTAAAGCCCTAGATGGTTTAGGACCAGCTTTCTTGAAGAAGCACCTTCTCCTGTGCATGGCTACCCAGACCTTCTGATCATTTAATGGGGGTCTCCTCCAGGTCCCCCCACCCAAGGGAGGTGAGATGGGCCTCTACAAAGGAGAGTTTTTTTGGTGGTAGCATCCCATTTATGGAATTCCCTCCCTAGAGAGGCTCAGTTGGCTCCGCTTTCAGCATCATTTTGGTGCCAGATGAAGACCTTTCTATTTCCCATTTCAAATGTATTTTAACTGCATTTTGATGTATATTGTTTTAGTCTTTAAATGTCTACCTAGCAGCTGCCTAGTTAATATGGTGTTTTATTTTGCATTTTATTGTATATATTTTTATTCAGAGTGGTTTTTATGTGTGTGTTTTCTTGTAAATTACCCAGAGAGTTTCAGCTATTGGGTGGTTTGAAAAAAATAATAAAATAAAATTAATAATAATAAAATTTGGGAAGGAAATGACAGTTCCTTTACTAATTTGTTAAGACCCATTGTTATTTATGTTACAGAACAATGATTTGTGTTAATCATAATTTAGACTCAAATTATCTTTTCTCCAACTCTATAGACAAATCATGTACTGTGAATAATTGGTCTCCAAGTAGTATCCCAGACAGTGGCCCTTGGGCATGGAACTTTCCAAATTGTAGTTTATTCAAACATAACCTAAATGGTGATTTGAAAATCAGCTTCAAATTTTGCTCTTTCAGTTTCTGGCTCAAAAGCTATTCTCTTAATTTTTGCTTTTTTTCAGACTGTGTGGATTCAGAAATGACAAACACATATTTTGGTGTTGTATCTTTGAATCTCCTGTCTATGTGAGCATCATACAAACCACTCAGTACCTCTCCATGCCTAGTTGCCTGTGTCAGGGAACATAGCCACTGGCAAACGTATCAGGACCAAGTACAGTGGTACCTCGGGATACGAACGCCTCTACTAACGAACTTTTCGGGTTACGACCAGCTCTGGCCGCAAAAATTTACCTCGATGTGCGAACTCTGCCCCAAGTACAGTGGTACCTCGGGATACGAACGCCTCTACTAACGAACTTTTCGGGTTACGACCAGCTCTGGCCGCAAAAATTTACCTCGATGTGCGAACTCTGCCTCGGGGTACGGTCATTTTTCCGCCCTGACACGTGGTCCGTGGCAATTTTTCCA